TGTCCGGTTAGTTCATTGTTCCTAGCATTCGTTATAGCTGAGTTTCATCCACTTTTATATTATTTTTAGCAGGACCTTACGAGTTATGGAAAATTGTAGAACTATAATCCACCATGGGTCTGCAAATCATTTTATACATATTGGCAGCAGTTTCAATCGTAATTCCTCATTCTTATATGTTAGGCTTCTAAGGGAATAATTAAATCAATATATGATAAAGCAAAAATTACTTCTAACAAAAATTTGTTCTTAAACCAGAATAATTTGTTAACATTGTTTTTATTTAAAAATTAGTATCTTTTGTCATTTGTAAATAAGGAATTTTACAGAATAGAGAAAATGCAACAGCACAATAGAATGGGATGCTATAATATTTACAAGACGCGATACGAAGAAAATAACAATACCACACATAAAAGGATTATCAGAAAATCTTAAAAGGATAGGAAATAAATTTAACATTTGAACATTTAAAACAACCAACACATTTAGATCTATTTTTTCTAAAAGCAAACCTAATAACGAATAAGAAAGAACAAGGGAATATATTTATAAAATACGGTAAAGTTGGTAAAGCGTTGACGTTTGTTAAACGTAATTTAATTTTTTATTTTTTTTACATATACAAAGTGTATGTTTATCTTACCCAGTGACATATAATAAATATATATTATTATGTTTCATTGATCTTACCTTACAATTACAGTAACCTATATCTTTAACAATTTTCGACAAAATAAATTCATTCAGATTTCTTTGTTCAGATGGCGTTAGGATTTTATGTCTAAACTATAAAGCTTTAAATTATTTTGTATTAACTTCTACCCTAAAAATATTAAAATTAATTATTAATTATATTAATATGTAATTAATACAGTATTATTAATTAATAATATTGTTTCAAGAACAAAATATGATTGAAATATGGTGGTTCATATTTCATTCCTAGATGGCGCCGTTAGTTTACTGGTCAAACCGTGTGACCTGTCATCATAGCCTTTTATATAAATAGATATGCAGATTGAAGGAAACATTTCTCTGAAAATCCTAGATCTGTGACATTATTTACACTCTTAAGTCAACACATCCTCTAAATTGTAATTAAAAACCAGAGGCTCAAGAGATCGATAAAACTCAATCACCTGACATTTTTCATAATTAATAATTAATTTGTTATTATCCACAAGGAAACTGAATTCCTGTAGTTGGTTGAGTATCATGAATAACAAAATTTTTTATTTAATAAAATTTCTTTATAACAGGTATATTAATATAATATAACCCTATCGGGCTACGTCACAGGATGTTTTCGGAATAACCATTCCATGATCAGTGCCATCCTAAAATAAGTATTAGCACCTTAATTAAACCGAACGTGAAAGTTAAAATTTTGATCAATGCCAACTCAACTTGTAATAATAGACAATCCAGCATCTTGCACATATCAGCTTTTGATATTCCAGACATAAACAAAAACATATAGGGCTTTATTATTTAAAGTTTTTTAGCTCTTCACCCTTGAATCATATATGTATAGATGGTTGCCTACCTAAAATCATAAGTTTCATTTAACTTCAATCCACCCACAAGAATACCTATTCTACAAATTTTAACATATTTTATTATACACAATGTTAACTATAGTCACATTTAGACACATATCTCCGGTTACATTGACTGCTTTGTTCAGACTTCCGTCCTAATATGCCATTTTAATCAGTTGCTATCAACTAGTCCTGACATACACTTCGTCCAAGACTAGCAGTGGGATCCTACGTTACCATGTAGCTAATTCCGTGTATAACTTAAACATCCTAGTTTTTTAATATCAAAGATGTAATTTAAAATTAATTCAATTATATTTAAAGGGTTTTTATCCATATATGTAGTGGCTTCAAACATGTAAATCCAGTACGTTTTAACCCACATTTTTGTTATAACTTTGGTCAAAATTTTAACTTTTACGTTGTCTTTAATTGAAGTGGTACTACTTATTTTAGGATAGCACTGATGATGGAGTAGCGAAAACGTTATGTGATGTAACTCGATAGGTTTTTATATTAATGTTTGTTTTTCTATATAATCTGTATATTATAATCTGTTTTAAAGGAATTTTTTTAAATAAAATTTTTTAAATTTGATATTACACACAGGTCTCAAGGCTGTCCAATGATTTCTGTGACATAATACATTCAGAACAGTTTCGAATAATACAAAAATGATTTTGTCATCTGCATATGCTAAGATCTGTATATGATTAGATCATGCCATAAATGAAATCAGAGATGCCAAATGGAACAGCTTGAACAGCATATTACGTCTTATAATTAGAGGAACTTATCTTATTTAAGACCGATAGAAAAGATTTCTCTAATATAAATTATAACTTAATAAATTGAGTTCGTTTTGTAAATACACCATTGGCAGATATTTGAAATAAGACTTTGAACCGGGTCGTAGTTTGAAGTATCTGCCATGTGGCTTTAGGGTGAAGTATCACTTTTGGCTTCCAACGCAAACTAGCAAAAAGGACAGACATAAATATAAAAAGTGTATTATGTAATGTTTATATAAATCAAATGCTTATTGGAAACGGCAAATGGCCGAAACGTTTAAGTAATTAAGCAATAATTAGGTGTTTTATTTATAACAGATTCAGAATCCGAGGTTCTATTTAAAACTTCACATTCAGGAAATAACAAACGATATATATATATATACTTTTCTTGGGTATATGTCAGGTTCTATCGGTCTGGAATTAAAACAATTCTATTTTCTAGTCACTTAATATTTCGCCAACTGATTGTTGGCTTCATCAGAAGTGCACTGCAAATTTATCAAAACAAAGAGAAAAGCAACATTAAGATACAATTACATAAATATTTACTTACAGAGGTAGAACTGTTCACAAAAAAAGACAAGACGAACATTTGTTTTACACTTTCACAATTAGACTGACAATTTTTAAGTTTAAGTTAATATACATATAAAACAACAAATAGTGTATGGTGGAATAGACGAGTTTCTTTAAGTTTCAATATATATATATATATATATATATATATATATATATATATATATATATATATATATATATATATATATATATATATAATAAGGTAGCAGGTTCACCGTAAAAAAATATTGACTTTAATGAATTGCAGAATATTGCTGTAGATGCTGCTTAGCTGATTCGTATCTGCTTTGTAATTTAATACATTTTTTGTGTTAGTAATATAACCAAAACAACCTATTTTTATAATTACATAGTTGCTGTTTCATAGTAGGTGCATAGTAGGATTTTAACATTGGTATAGTCAAATTTGTGACCTGTGTTGATGGAGTGTTCGACAACAGCGCATGTGTTTTTACCTTTATGGCAGTCACTTTTGTGCTGGGTAATACGTCGTTTTAACCATTGGCTTGTCTATCCAATGTAGCAACCTTCGCAGCCTAAACATGGTATTTTATAGATTGTATTGGTAGTATACATTACTGGTGTCTTATCTTTGAGACGAGAAAATAGACTTTTGTTGCTAATACCGCTGTATATACCAATTCTGATGTTATTGTATGGTTTGGAGAGGACTGTAATCTTATTTGTTAGATTATCAACTAAGGGCAATATTTGGTATGTAAAGTTTTGTGGAGCATCTTTATCCAATGGTCCATCATAATAGTGGGAGTTGTAAATTAATTGTTTAAGGAGTGTCTACGGATAACCGTTGTTAATAAATATCTCAAGTAATTTGCTCTGACTTCTTCTTTCAGTACCTTCTCCGATTATCGAAGTTGGCGATCATATTAGCAATAATAACTTTGTTTACGGCGGCTCTAAATAAATTAGCGGTGGTCTCTTGATACCATTCTCGGAGATTTTGGAGCCAGGATATTCTTCGTCGGTCTGGACCTCTCCTTCCGGCGATCTTATCCTGTATTATGAGGTTTAGAAGGTTATACCTCTCTGGATGTCTCATTACATGACCGAAATATTGTAACTTTCGAATTTTTATCGTTTTTGTTATTTCTGTGCTCTTTTTCATTAGATGTAAAACTATTTCATTTCTTATTCGATCAACCCAACTTATCCGGAATACTCGTCGATAAATTCACATCTCAAAGTCCTCTAATTTTTTCATTAATGTCTCTGTAAGGGTCCAGCTCTCCATACCATAGAGCAATGTGGAGAATTATTGTAGCAGCGTATTAATTTGATTTTGATCTGACTATTACTTAAAAACTGGTCGTCGCATATATTGAGTATTCTATTGTTCATAGCAAGAACTGTACTGTATTTCTGGTTTTTTGGGTGGTTAGAAAAAAAGTTTAGAAATCTGCCTGATGTAAGTAGATTTTTGGTGCCAATCTAGTATTATTTGATTGTCTTCTGTGCGGATTATTTTAGTGTCCAAGAAAGGTACACTATTGTTAGTTTCTCTTTCAAATGTAAATTGTATTTTGTCATTAAAAGAGTTAAAGGTATTTAGGATGGTGTCTACCTGATCGTTTGGTACTGCACAGATAATGTCATCGACAAATTTGTATAGGAAGGTTAGTATAAATGGGAGGTTTAAAGAAACTCGTATATTCCACTAACTATACACTTTTTGTTGTTTTATATCTATATTAACTTATTTTAAAAATTGTCAGTCTAATTGTGAAAGTGTAAAACTAATGTTTGTCTTGTCTTTTTTTGTGAACAGTTTTACCTCTGTAAGTAAATATTTATGTAATTGTATCTTAACGTTGCTTATCTCTTTGTTTTGAAAATTTGTAGTGCACTTCTGGTGAAGCCAACAATCAGTTGACGAAATATTAAGTGACTAGAAAATATAATTGTTTTAATTCCAGACCGATAGAACCTGACATACCTACATCCAAGAAAATTATTTTAAATAATGTATGGTCGATACAAAAACATATAGTATATATATATATATATATATATATATATATATATATATATATATAATTCTTATCATTATAATTTATTATTTTAGGTTTGAGATAGAAAAGAAGTTGAGACAGGCGAAAAAGGCCGAACGTGCCAAAGACAAACCATCGAAACCGAAGGAAAAAGATAAAGATAAAGAAATCGTCAACAATAACAAGGTACAGAATGATTTTATTCCTATCGATCACAAAGAACGAAGTAAAGAGAGGAAAAAGAACATAGAGGAAAATAGGGGGAAAACGGAGAACAAAAGATTTAATGCTATGGCGGAATTGAAAGCGCGAAGGGAGGGTAAAATAAAGAGGGAGGAAGCTGAAGAAGAGAGGAAGAAAAAGGAGGAGCAAAAGAAGAAAGACGAAGAAGAAGAAATAATGAGTAAGAAAAACGAAACGAAGTTAAAGGCTTCCGATATTTATTCAGATGACAGTGATTCAGACAACGATGGTAAGTAAAAAAAAAAGAAATTATTTAATATTATTGATTTACTGTTTATCGACTTTACTTAAGCTTATCTTTTATTTTGTTGTGCATTTACACATTTTTCGCATGTATGTAATTGATACTTTTACTTTATACATTTGAAATCATTCTTTTGTACACTACTTTCAGAGGAGTTTTGGTATGATAAATCATTATCATCATCAATGGCGTTACAATTCTTCGTGAGTATTTGCCGTGTTTATATTGCTTTCCATTCTTATCAGTCCTTTACCATTATTTACCACTGCCTCAGGTCTTTTCTCCAGATCCTCTCTGACTTCTTCCCTTTCCAACTTTTTCTAGACTGTCATACATTTTCCAGTCTGGTCTTTTCCAAAATATATTGTTTATAAGTCGTCTGACACTACTCTGTATTGCATATTCTGCCTATCTTAGTCCGTTGGCCTTTATGTACCTAGATTTTCCTTTCAAGCAGTGTATCTAATTCGTTGTTGTATTTGCGCCTTATTCGTTTGTCAGGCTATATATAACTCTATGGATTTTTTCTTCCCACAGCAATAGATTATTAATTTCGTTAGTTGTTAGTGTTCACGTTTCTCTTCTGAATATGACTATTAGCCATCTTTTTAACTTTCCGTTTTACTATAGTACTTGCTTTTAAGTATTTGAATTATTTGATTACCTCGAACTTATGGTTCGATGTTCGATGCCGTCTCTGCTTTGAAACGATCATGAATTTTTTAAACTGTTGTGTTGTCGCATGTCTCAGTTAAATATCATGTCTATATGGCGTTAAGCTAATATTGATTTTAATGATAATTACATTTTTAAATAACTTTTGACGTTTCAAATTGTATTTCGGAACTCGTTTCCAAAAAAGATGTTTTAAAAGCAAAAGTTTTAATAAAACACGTTAAAGTTGTTATCCTGGTTGTTTATTATTTTTTAGTTTTTTTATTACTTCTTTTACCTTTTCTGCTGTTGGGTCGTGTATTATTTGATCTTGTTTTCTAGTCAAACTTCTACTTTATTCAAAAATTGTTTCTCTTCGATTCTTCCTTTTTTTAACCTCTTTGCTTCTAAAATTCTCTTTTATTTTTTTTATTTATCCAGTTATATTCCCTTTATTGTTTACATGTTTGTCTTTCATACCCCATTGATTATCAAAAACTGATTGACCAGACATCAGATCCAGAACTGAGAAGGTGAAGACAACTTTTGTTTAGATTAAGCGCATGTTTACTAACAGGGACTTTTCACTACTAATAAAAATCTGATTTTTACATAGTCACGATTGTAATATATGACACGGAAGCGTATACCATAACAGAACAACTATTTAAAATTTTCGAATTCTCTAAATATCCTCGACAGATCACATTAAGCAAATGTGGATTGAAGGAGAGGTCCAGGTAGTAGAAGAAACTTATGGTGCATGTGTTTTGTAGTTTAGACATTGATTCCTAATGTTGACTGTTACAAATTAGCGCTTCATTGATTAAGGTTACATATCTTTATTTTTTTATAAATACAATTTGAAGTCAACTAACTTTGTTTAAAAATTGCTTTCTAAGTAAATTTTAGCCACTACAGTATTAAAGGCTCTATATGTTTCTAATTACTCAAAAGAACAGAATAAATACATGCTTTATACATATTTACAAATATCTTCCTATCCCTAACAGTTTATTTTGTCCTTGTTTTTACTAATGAACTCTGAATCACGAACACCAAATTTTTTTAATAGTTATGTTTTGTCTTTAAATGCTTGATTTCATTTTTTCCAATATAGCCATTTTCTTTCACTGTTTTTTTTTTCAGTTAATTACAATACTATATACATTTTCATTAAATAGAAAAACAAAAGTTTTGTCCTTCGGTTTTTTATGCACATTCTCGTAAAATAATGCGCCACTGGCAACCTGGAAACTTGTAGACATATCAAAACTTCCTGAACCTTGGTAATACGCATGTCCAAACAAAAAATGAAACCTAAAAACATTAACTACTTTAATGTCATACTGAATTGCGCGACAGGCTCGGATCTGCACGGAGTGTAAAATATAGCTCACATGATGTCGAGTATTTCCAATAAACACTTTTATGTTTATCTTAAGCGGGGCATTCACGTTCCGAGTTGTAGTCTCAAGATATTCAGTTCCACTCATGCTCCGACTTGCTATCAAACTAGCGCTTTAACTTTAGTCTTATTCTCTTTTCACGATTTTATACATCGGTCAGCTAAAAAATATATCGAATAAAATCTACGCAAAATATAATTAGGAGCAGAAATTGTCAGCAGCATTGTGCTTGTTAGCCTCATCATTCGAAAAAAATGTTGGATGAAGAAATCAATCGTTGATCATGTGAATTATTGTGACACGGAGTTGCTCAATGTCATTGATGTGGATCTTCTTCCTCCTCTTCTTTATAAATAATTCTCCTTGTTCATTGGCGGATTAATACCTCTATGGAAGGTTGTCACTCCATCTTATGCACGGTCGTCCGATTCTTCTCCTGTCGATTAGTGACTTATCTCTTGCTATTTTGACGACATGGGTCTCCTCCATTCTGCCTATGTGGTTATTCCATTCTTTTTTTTTTATTTTGTGTTCATTTATACACTGTATTTTACATTTTCTTCTATATCTATGTCTTCACTTCTTTTTCGATCTCTCAGCGTATTTCCTGTAATTATTTTCAGTACTCTCATCTCTGCCGTTTCCTGTAGCCTTTGCGTTGTGGCTGTGTCAGATCTTATGTCTGAGTCATTATTTGTTTTACACTGGCTTTATAAATTATTGATTTTATCTCAGTGTTAATGTGTCTGGTTCGCCATACAGTGTTATTAAGGCGTCCTGCCAGTCTATTTTCTTTTTTTTTTTACTTGATCTGTAACTTCTTTGTCCAGGTCTCCATAGCTAGTCAGTGTAATTCCCAGATATTTTATTTCCATTACTTGTTCAATACTAATGTCATCAATTTCTATTTTACATCTGTTGGTTCTTTGCTGACTACTATTGTTTTAGTTTTCTGAGATGCGATTGTCATATTAAATTCTTTTGCTTTTATGTTAAATCTGTGGACCAGTCTTTTTTCACTATCTTCATCTTGAGCTATCAATATTGCATCGTCTGCGTAACAGAGTATTTTTATTTTTTTGTTTCCCATTCTGTATCCTCTTCCTTTGTTAACGCTTTTGATGATTTCATCCTTGATCAAATTAAAGAGCATGAGGCTCAATGAATTCCCTTGTCTTATTCCGCTGCCTATTTCTATAGGTTCTGTAAGTTGTCCATCTATTCTGACTTCCATTTTTTGTTTTGGTAGATGTTTTTGATAGTTTTTATAATATTTAGGGGAACTTCTCTATTACACAGAAGATGGATTACATATTTGAGTCTTACTCTATCAAACACTTTCTTTAGGTCAATCAGACACAGAAATGCTGGTCTATTATACTCTAGTGTTTCTCTAGGTTTCTCAGTAATTTGCTTTATAACGAATATTGCATCCCCATTGAAAATCCTGTTGTTCATCTGCTAAACATCCTCTGATTTAAACTTATCCTCTGATTATCGAGTAGCTAGATAGAAATGTTGCCGGTCCCAAGACAGGATAAAGGATGAGGGGGTCTACAGCCAGGTTAGCACCCTACTGATATACTTTAAAACCATACAGCTCATAGAAACAGGCTTATGCCTCGGAACAGGAATGATGATTGATGAGGATGATTACAAAAATTACCGCAAAATCTACAAAACTATGTTAGTAGTGTTTTCATACTTCGACATCACATTCAGCAGGTGTTGTTGAGCTGTTTTCTGCGCATAGAGATAGAGAGAGCACTACTAGTATCCCACAAACAGAGACTATTTCTGTAAATATCAATAAATTCAGAAATTCCTTTACTGTTCATTACCGAAGGCGTGCAGTAGGTACCCAAGGTCATGTGCTGACCGAAGCTCCCACATCGTCGCCAGTCGGAAATTTTACTTTCGAATCATCCCTCTAAATCTTCCGACTCGTACAACAATCCAGTAAGCCCACGCATGGTCAGATATCGGATCCAACTTCGAAGGTTGGACTAGCTATCGGAACGTGAATGCCCTCCTTTAGCTTGAAAATTCCTTAGTCACCGCGACGCAATCATTTTATCCCTCACGCCGAAAGATGTAAAGTAGTAATAAAATTTTACGACTTCCTGTTATCGATGTGGAAAAAAATCACTCGTTTTAATAATGTTGATTAAAATATTTACATTACAATTAGGTATTAGGGGTAAAATAAATAACAAATGCACATTATATGTGAATATGTATTATGAATTATGATTTTGAAATTCAGCAAAATGTGTTTAAGTGTATAGGTCCTTGTAAGTAATTGTCTTTATCGTCGCTATTAATTAGACAGTTCTGTTTCAGACTCGCTACCGTCTTCTAAATTTATGATAAAATCATGCGCTTCATCCATAATGAATTCTCGGCTGAAATATTCTTCTTCAGTTTTTTCAACATGCCTGCAAATATTAGCCCATTTCACTGACGTGATTTCATTTAGCCTGATATTAGCTATTTCTTGAACATCTGCCAATTTAAAACTGCTGCTTCTTGCCGCCACTTCATTTTTTAAAATACCCCATATCTTTTCAATCGGGTTAAGTTCCTGAAGATAAGGTGGTAAATGTAGAACCAAGTGGCCGTACTGTGCTAATAATTTATCTACAGCATACACAGGTTTTTTAAGTTTAGCACAAAGTATCTTATTGTACAGCTCTGGCTTTGTTTCCCTTTCCTCGAAAAATCTATTCGTTTCTTTCAAACATTTTCTTATGACGTCTTTTTTCGAAACTGATATGAAGTATTGTCTAGTACTAAAACTGAATTGGAAGGTAAAATCAACCATTTCAACCATTTCATATAATTCGGGTGATTCATGTCGTCATGATAATCACCAGTTTTTAGTCCGGATTTGAAAATGAGGGAAGCGGTTTCAAATACATT